GGAGCAGGGGGAGGGCGGGGAGGGGCGGCTGGGCGCCAGCAGCGGCGAGGAGGAGGAGCGGGGTCCCAGCTCCCCGCGTGCCGAGCCTCGCCCGAGCATGCGCACCCTTGCTGCTGCCCGGGCGCGGCGCGGCGGCGCCTTGAGCAGCGGAGAAGAGGGTGTGGAGGAGGCCGGGCAGGGGGGCGGCGGCCCCACCGTCCCCAACAGCGGCGAGGGCACTACCAGCCGCCGCCACCCCGGGCTGCTGCAGGGCGCCTCTTCCTCCCGGCGCGGCCGGCGCGGCTTTGGCGGGTTTGGCAGCTTTGGCGGCGCCAGCAGCGGCGAGGTGAGCGACGAGGACTGGGCGGCGCGCGACCCCTGGCTGCCTGAGTACGGGTCTGTGGCCGAGACCACCACTGCCGACGAGGAGGGCGAAGACGAGGAGGGCGCGGCGCAGGGCGGCGTCGCCAGGCTGCGGCCCTGGAATAGCCGGCAGGCGCGCGCGCTCTGGCCCTACTCCACCGCCGGCGGCGAAGGGGGGGGCGTGGCTGCGGTGGCGGGCGTCGCGGCGGGGAGGGCGGTGGCGCGCTCGCAGCGGCGGAGCGCGGGGCCGCCGACGAGCGCTGCAGGAGAGTCGCCTGGGGCTGCGACAAGGCCCGAGTAGCGCCAAGGTCGCTCTGCCATTGCGCATGGGCTGCGCCTCTGAACGGTGCTCCACTCTCCTGTACCGTGCGGGATCGCCTGCACACCAATGCCGCTGTCTACCTGATAGTCGGACGCTGCTGCTGCAACACGCCGCAGCGCATAGCTACAGCCTTTTGACACTCATGTTCAGCCGCCCGCGTGGGCACAGCAAGTGTGTGGCCTGCCTGCCAGGCTTGCACAGTGTGCCTGCTTTTCTGTACAAGATGCAAGGATCGCTGTGCATTTTTGACATTTTTGAAGTGTTGATTACTTGAGGGCAGAGGAAAGCAACTGCAACATACACAACTGCCTACTTTCAAATCTAGTTGCATCACAGAACTACCAAACTTCAGCCGAGAGTGCAATGGCAGAGTGTGAAGCTGCTCAAGCTGCAACCAAGTTTTCCGCGCAACTCTGCCAGCAAAAGTGGGTGTGGGACCACCCGACAGACGCAGCAGCGCGGAGGTTCCCAGCTGATCAAGCGGGCCCTGCCACTGCTGTTGCAGCACTGCGGGCAGCCGTCTACCATGCAGGTGGGCGGGAGGCCGGCACAACGCCTGGCACGCACAAGCATGCCAGCGCACCGGGTGGTGGGCTGAGGCTAGGGCCCAACTTCAAACAGATAGCATTGTGTCATGCCTCGCGTTTCTTCACGGCATTGTGTTGACAAAAGAGTGTGTGTGGCGCGCAACAGACCCCTTGCCAGAAGGCACAACGGGGAGCAATGTGAGAGCGCCGCCGGCAGACTGCACCAGCCACACTCACCGGGTTGGTGGCGGGTGCCAGGCCAGAGTGCGGCTAAGTCACCACAGTTTGAGACAACATGTGGATCAGCGGGGGGAGTCATTACGACCGCATGTTTGACGCAAGCGCTTTGAGGGAATAGCCAGTAGCAACACGCTCGCGCACGCTCCAGGCGGCCAAGCATCAAACTGTGCCAGGAAGCTGCGTGCGACCAGCATGCGCCCCCTCAAGCCCGGCCCCAAAACAAGGGACGGAGCGGGGAGCTCGTCCAGGAGTTGGCTGCACCCAGCTTAGATCACAGCTGGGGGGCAGGCCCCGCCGCAAGAGCGTGCCGCTGCGGCCAGCGCCCGCCGACAATGAGAATGTCAGAAGCGTGCGCAGGGCAGACCACACATTCCACCATCCCACGCTTGTACGCGCCCCGCCGCAGCATCTTGCTTGCGGGTACACTGGGCACAGAGGTGCCAGCGCCCGGACAAAGTGGTGTGCATTGTCCGCGGCGGAGTGTATACCTGAAAGCCGCATCAACGAATTAAATGCGTGTGGTGCTGTGAGCGGAAAGCAGCAGCGTTGGAACAGCAACACCCGGGTGCACTTGCGGCACAATGGCCTGCGCCTCTAGGGTGCATTGGCCGCTGTAACCAGCAAGTTGCGCTGGTGGCTGAGCAGGCACACCGCGCTCGTTAGCCTTTTGGGTTTTCAAAAGGCAACCTCCTGCCTGTCGCGGCAGGCACGCCGGCCGCAGTGGCCGTGGAAGCCTGTCTTGGCTATTCTTCGCATGGGATTGAGGGTTGCGCCGCAAACCCCAGGCGAGGACGAGGGGTGTGCAATAGGTTTTGCCCCGCATGCGCAAGCTGGGGCCCCCGCCACCATCGGGCAAGTGCAGACCAATCAGCAAGCGACTGCACTAAAGCAGGTCTTCAGATGCAGCAGGACCCAAAGGATTGCCGCGACACAACTGCCAAGTGCTCTATGGGGAGGCGATCTTGCTCTGAGCAAGGAGGATGGGGCTCACATCACAAAACCCTCACTACCGCTCAGGTCCTAGCTGTGCGCAGCAGCCTCTGTCCTGGCAGACCGACGTCATGTGAAGCGCCCAATGGCACAGGCCTCTTTCAGCGGCGTGAGGCGGCCGCACGCTCGGTGGCCATTGCAGAGATGCGGGGCACTGCCGCGACCATGAGGCGCCTCATGTTTGAGGCCGCAGCGGCACCCTGTTCCATGACATCATCATGACTCACCTGGGGGGGGGGGAGTGTGGCGAGGCAGGGGAGGGCGAGACACTGCAGCGTAAGGAGCAAGTGATCAGGTGGGCCCCGCCTTATGGTGCTGACAGAGCATGACGGAGCAAGTTGCATAGAATCCAGCTGGTGCGCCCATCAGCTGGTGTGCCCATCACTCGAGAAATGCGCAATCAAGCGCCGCCGACACCCCCCCTTCAGACCAACACTGTACCCCACCTCACACGCAGACATACACAGCAATACGACCACCCAGTGGTGTATGCACACTCACATGCACACGCACACACGACCCAACTTGGCCAACCACCAGGCAGGCACCGCGGCGCAGGCTCTGCCTCCCCACGCACCTTGCCCTCCACCAGGCCGCAGGCCATGTTGGTAATGCACGACACCGCCACCACGCGCACACCCAGGTGGCGCGCCGCGATGACCTCCGGCACGGTCGACATGCCAACAGCGTCCGCGCCAAAGGACTGCCGGAGGGTGGCCGTGTCGCGCGCAGGGGTGGCGCGCTTGACAAGGCGTCTCCGTGACTGCTCATCGCAGGCAAGGACACTGGTATCTCAGTCGCAGTGACAGTCGTGCTGCCCTTCACTCCCTCAATCCTGGGCCCGCTATTTGAACACGGTGTGCGTCCAGGTGCGCCCGTAAATGCTCACCCTGAACATCCTGACCTCCGCGCGCGTCTCGTAGGTGGGGCCGCTCACGCCCACATACACGCCCCGCCTCAGGGGCGGCAGCCCCAGGTCGTGGGCGCAGCGGGCCAGGGTGGAGCTGTATGAGGCGTCGTAGGGCTCTGACAGGTCGAGGAAGCGGGGGCCCCCCAGCTCGGGGGGGTTGGGGCCGCGGAGGGGGTTGGAGCCGATCATGTTGATGTGGTCCTGGGGGGGGGGGCGGACAGCAGTGGGGGTTGGGATGCCTGCACAGAGGCCTGCACGTGGTCCGGCAGGCAGGGCGGCGGAAGCCGGCGGGTGCTAAAAATTGCCAAATCCTCGCAAAGGCTGCAGAAGTCAACGTCGCTGCAATCCCATGAAAAGATCCCCGCCTCGCAACCCAGTGCGCCGGGCCGCGAGCCCAGGGAGCGCCCCGCCGCACCCCACCCCACACCACATGAGCTACTCTTAGAGCTCCATTCCTGAGCAGCCGGCCCCCACCTCGATTAGCATGAGGTCCCCCGCGCTGAAGCCGGGGTTGAGGCCGCCGGCCGCGTTGGTGATGATGGCGGAGTGACAGCCAAGGTACTTGGCCATGCGGATCGGCAGGATGACCTCGTCTTGGGGAGGAAACAGCAGGGTTTTGGGGGTGGGGGACACAGGCATTGAGTGCGCGTCGCGGCAGAGGGCGTGCAGGTGGGGGTCAGGGCGCTGAGTGACTTATGCTTGCAGGGATTGTCATCTGGCGGGGGCCGAGGGAGAGCAGGCTGGCGGTGACCAGGCGCAGGGCCCGGAACACAGCGTCGACACACTGCAGGGACGCTCAGCACATAGGTGGCCGTGTCTCACCCATGGGATGGCCCTCGTAGTAATGGAAACGGCCCTGGGGGGGTGAGGCGGACAGGAGAGACCGATGAAGGGGCACGAGTTGACGAGCAGCTGGATGGGAGCGACCCTGGGGACAAGCGTCGCCGCAAGTTGCAGTGCAAGCAGGTGACAATGGCGGAGCCTGGTCAGGTGCGGCGGTGCGCCACTGCGCCCCAGCCCGGAAAGAGATCTGGGGCGTCAAGAGCCTGGCGCCTGGCCCCTGCCGCGCGGTCCTACCTGCAGCACGAGCGCGGGGACGCCCTGCAGGTAGCCCAGCACCAGGCGGCCCGGGTGGCCCACGACGCCAGGCGCGTGGAAGTGGGGGATTTCGCGGTAGGGGATGGCCACGGCCTCATCCAGCTCGTCCGCGATCGCGCCCAGGCCGGAGCCCAGGACGATGGCGATCTCGGGCACCAGGTCGGTGTGGGATCTGACGCATGCCACGCAGTCCATGATCTTGGAGTGGGTCTCGGCGGGGAGGCCCACCAGGGGGTGGGGGTGGGTGTCCTCGGGGGATGGGGGCGGCAGCGCCACGACGGGCGCTTGCAGGACGGATTGTGCGGCTCGGGTGGGCTTCCCATTGCCGTTGTGTTGGAGGGCGGCGGCGTGCTGCTGCAGCAGGGCGCGCGTCGGTTGGCCGCCCCGCTGGCAACGGGCTGCGACGGCCTTAGATCGCCGGGCGCAGTTGGGGCGCGGGGCCTGGCGAGGAGGGCGGCGAAGTAGGGGGTCACCGCGTTGCTTACAACGAGATGGGTCCACAAGCTCGTTACAATGTACGAGCGCTGCCTCTGAGCCACGTGTTGTCCGAGTCAGACGCCAGACTGACGGCGGACTTGTTGATCGAGATCCAAGACATCCTCGGCGACCTCAGGTAATCCCATACAATCATGTCCATTGCCCAGTTTTGTGCGCGCTCACCTGGGCCACGCTGGTCTGAAGCATGTGAGACATGTGCGCGGTCATTCCCGAGTGGATCATTGCAAGGCCGATCTCAAAATATGCAGATCAATAAAAAAGGGGTGCGGCTGCAGCAGGGGCTGATCTGATGACCAGGGCCTGATCGCGGATGCGTTGGGATGATGCCGAGCACTTTTGAAGGAACCTTTGCTCAAGCGAGAAGCCGACAGGGACTATGAAAGTGCGACTATGCCTGAGTGTGGCGTTGGACTGAATGGGTGGTGGCAACATGGTGACCCTTGGGCAGCAGCCGAATGGACCGGCGACGCTGAGCTGTCGTCCTCGGTCGCTGTGGTGCGAGAAGCCGGTTGCTACGATGGTTTTGCGTCTCGTGACTGCGTCATACAAGAAGACTTGGATTTGTGCAGCTATCTGGGGTTGTGTCATGAGACCGTGTGGTGATGCCACTCGAACGGGGTGATGTCGCTCGTCCGATCCTGTGCCCTCAAGGCCCACGAGCCATTGTATGAGTTGCCCCAGACGAAGCGACACATCTTATCAAAGCGCTAATGTTGTTTTGTTACTGTGTCTTGGATGAATGGCAGTCTTGTGCCTGCTGACCAGTCGAGGGTGCTGGACGACAGGAGGCACCGCGTTGGGTGACGAGGTTGACAGCAACGGGTGTCGCCCATCGTTCACAGCAGTTGCAGCGGTGCAGCGCCTTGCGGCCATGTTGCGGCCATGCTGCGGCATCTGCCCAGCCTTCCATTGGTTAGAAAGTCAGTGGTTACAAAGGATGCTAGATGAGTTGGTTGTTGAGCGGGCCCTTGTGGACACGCCTGCTCTCGGAATGGCACACAACGCCACATTGCTTGCACGCAACCAACCGCGTGGGACCACCCATGACAGCTGAGATTTGGTCGGGCTGCGCGCGCAAGGAGCAGCGCAATTGCCTGCCCGCGAGGCAGCTTTTGAAGGCGATCTGGATGGTATCCCCCGAATGCGCGGCACGTGGCCTGTTGCGGCAAATAAAGACATGCACCAAACACACACTCGCAAGGTTGGTTTCTTCGGCGCACAAATGGATTGGGCACGCATTTGGGTGCCCAAGCATCCGTCATCAGGGAGCACAAGAAATGCCGTCCGTCCAAACATCACATCCGTCATCACCAGTCAGAGGTCGTTGTGATTCCCAATGTTGACGGATGGGGGGCAGCCAAACACCTTCTGCGCCGCACAGCTGGGGCGTGGGTGTCTGCAAGAAGCGGCAGCGCAGCAGACAGCCCGCCCGTTGTCACCCCTCCAAGTGCACTGGCGGCCCGGCGCGCACGCCTCGCCCCTCACAGCGCCATCTTCTTTGACCGCCAGCTGCAGCGGGCCCCAAAGGCCAGCAGCAGCACCAGGTAGTAGAGGCACAGGCCCCGCCATATGCCCTCCAGGGTGCCCGGCCCCAGGGGCTGCAGCAGCCCCGTGCTCGCCAGCTGCAGCAGCGCAAAGCCCGCGGCAAAAGGGTAGGTGCGCACCACGTAGGGGCTGTCCTCCATGGCTGAACAGGGGAGGCAGATTAAGATGAACGGTTTGCAGATGAGTGGCGAGATGTCCGATTGGCTGGGCTCAGGGCAGGGTCGACATGATGGCGAGGCACGGCCCCAGATGCGCAGCGTATCAAGATCAGGTCCACTACACACGCCTGCGCCTGCCCCGGCCCGTGCCGACCCGCCCCGACCACCAGGGGCCGACTCCTGGGCCCCACTCATGCCCCGCTAGGCAGGCTGTGCGGCCGTCCAGGCACGGCCCGCGCGCTCACCCAGCAGGCATCCCTCCAGGCAGTTGCACCATGACAGCGCCATCATGAGGGACGCGGGCGCCTCCGCAC